AAAATTATTATTTATTCAATAATTTCTCAGTTACAATATGTATAACCACACAATAAATATTTTTTTAATTGGTTCAAAATAAAACAACAAAATATTAAAATTGCAATAACTCAACAAACAAATATCATGAACATAATATTTTACTTTTAAGGACATTATTATTGATAAATTTTTTAAATTTTAGTTGTAACTCATCAAATAATTATAATGTATTCAAATAAATTCTCAAATGTTTTATTGGATAAATGTAAGGGTGAGATTTTTCCAAGTTTATGAAAAGCTCAAAATTTGTGTCAAATAATTATCAAAATGATGAGTCATCATGTTAGAAAGAATGTGAGAAATTAGAAAGTGAGCTTGACAATGTTAACATTAATTTCTTACACATAAGCATGAAAGGACCCATAATCTAATGCATTGGAGGATATATTACTCACACACTTTCTATGTAGATTAGGTGGATAACTTTTTACCCTTTCAAAAGAATGCATTAGAGATGCTCTCAAGACATCTCTTTTCAACTGAGGACCAAAAAAAGATCATTTCGTTCCATTTTTAGTCAAATATTATTGAACTTATCTATCTATTATATAATTAGGCAACACACTTGTCATTTTTAGAAAGTTTTATGTGGTTCCTACCACACTCTTACTATTTTTAGAAAATTCTCACATTCTTTTACACGTGTTATTAACACACGGTTTGTAAGTTATGTTACACGTTAAAAATACACCCCAAAAACCATGAAAGTGAAGTTAAAGTATTAAATTAATCAATTAAACAAATAGTATTATATATATATATATGCAATATGCAATATATGTAATAAATATTAGATTACATAATATAAATAAAGAGTATTTCATAAATACCTTTTGTATTTATTGGTAATATCGCGATAACATAAAAATATGACTTAAATGTTAAACGGTAGGTAGTTAATTATTTTAGACTTATAAATTTATGTTCATAAAATATTTTGTTTTTTAATACGTAAATCAGTCAAACATACTTAACAACACTAAACAAAGTCCAAGTTAAAGTCAGATAGAAGTTAAGACACGTTTTAAGTTTTGTTAGATGTTAAAAATACACCCTAAAACCATAAAAGTGTAAGAAGTTAACACACGTTTTAAGTTTTGTTAGATGTTAAAAATACACCATAAAACCATGAAAGTGTTAGATGTTAAAAATACACCCTAAAAGCATGAAAGTCAGTTTCGAAGTAAGTCACATTGTTAGTGGCTTGAATAGTGCAAATCATTTTTTATTTAGTAAGATATATATATGTTGTAGTTTATAAATACGCAATTGATTATTCATTTATGTACCATCACATTCACATCTCTCTCACATCTTATTCAAACAATTTCTTACACACTTCTAAAGAAGGTATAAAAAACAGAATGGAGTGTCAAAGTCCGTGTGATGCGATATTATGAAAGGACTGCTTTCAAGATCAAAATACCGTTATCTAGAATTGATAAAACTACTATGGCAAGATTGAAGATAAATTTTATGGTAAAACTTCAAATAAAAATTTTCCAAAGTTTATATATAACTTCAAAAATTTTACCGATTTGGCTAAAGGCTCCGATTGTAAGGACTTATTATTGATCGGTTATTATATATCTTATGTATATCAAAAATAAAATATATATTTTAGTTATTGGGGATTAATTTATATGAATGTCATACCTGAAGAACCCTGTATTTATGCATGACCAACTTTACGTCGCTGTTTCACAAGTTACAAATGAGAAATGATAGAAAATATTAATATGTGATGATAAAAACAGCTCAAAACTTTATGTCGCTGTTTCATAGTTACAAATGTGAAAGGATTGAAATTATTAATTTGTGATGGTAAATAGAGTTCAAAGACGAAGAACATTGTATATAAGGAATTGTTCAATAATATTTAATCGTTATGAATTTGTATGAATTGCAAATGTTTAATGACTTTTTTTTTTTTTTTGTAGCTCCCGTGCATTTGCACGGGCAACTGTACTAGTTGTTGTTTAATAGTTAACTATTATAATACCCGTGTATTACACCCGTGTTGAATTATAAAACTTTTGTAAAAAATATTAAATTTTTTATTTTTGTAACAACTAAAATAATTTAATTTTATATAAAACGTTACTTTGGGTTTTAATTAAATTATCAAATTATATTCTTTTAATCATAATAATTAAACACCCGTACATTAAATGAAAATGTCAACCCATGTTGAATTTTTTTACTTATATCATATAAAATATCGATATTATTTACTATTACATAAGTACACAATATATATCTTAAATAAATAGAAATGATATGGTGATATGTATATGCATAAGTGTATAATATGTTTATTTAATATAAAACAAAATAGTTTACATAATTAGATGCCTAATACATCAAGTGTCGTATCAGTCGTGTTTCACAGTTTTTTAACTTTATATGTAATTTTAGAATTTAGATAAAAAATTATTTATTTTTATTACAATGGCAACATACCAATTAGATTTGAAATAAATATCATTTTTAAAAGAATACATACCAATTTCTATTACTTTTTAGGGTAATTTATGTTGGTTTCGCTAATACCGTACGGGCTGTACGCAGCGGAATTTAAAATTTTTTAAAGTAAGTATTTATCGTATAAATACAACACCCGTAGATACTAATTGCGAATTAACTGATCGTCATCTTTAAAACATGCATCATATACAAATTTTGATTTGTTACTATAAAGTAAATACTAGTAAAAATATTTACCGAGTGTCTTGAACTCCTTCAACAAAGATGTGGATTGTGGGAATTGGTTCCCGGTTGTAACTTCAACGGCTTGAGGTTACTCGCTTTAGGAATCCAAGTGTCTTCCCTCTAATCGTATCCACCCTATGAAGCCCGGTTCCGACGACTTTCCTTCGCTAGTAGAAAAGACTCGGTTTTCTTGTATAGGAATATTTATTAATTTTATTTGGGAATTTTAAGAACTCTTTCTTGAAATTTTATGAAGAACACTTTCTTCTCTTTCTAACACTTAGAAATTTATGATCAAAACTTCACTTAATGCAAAACCATTTTGCACATATTTATACTAAACATTTTAGCATAAAATAATCAACATTTAGTAATATTTAAATAAAATCAAATTTTATTTAAATAGTATTTACTAACTTTTGACTTTGAAAATAATAAGATATGTTAAGTAGTTCAAACAACCATCAACAACCATTTTATTATAATCATATTTATTATTTTAATCCTTAAATCATATTTAAAGATATAAATAATAATTGGATAATAAATCTTGAGAATCTTTCTCAAGACTTTATTATTATATCATTTTCCCAATATTATAATAATCATATTATTATTATTTTGGATTTTGAAATTTAAAATCCTATTTTAAAATTCAACTTTATTAATTTAGTAATTACCTTAATTACTAAAGTAATATCCAAAATGTAATTAATCAATCTTATTGATTAATATATTCCTTTAATTGATATCTAATCAAATTAGATATTTATCAATTAATTCTAACCATTAGAAATACAATCTTTACCTTTGTTCATAATTAGTGTGACCTTTTAGGTTCACCTTAATACTAGTAGTGGGTTTACAACACTTTGTAATTTGAGTTAAATCTTATTAACTCTTATTCATGAATTAACCCTTTAATTTATGAACCCACATATCATGGTAACACCTAGCAAGTAGCATGAATCTAGTATTAAGTGAATAGCGAGTAAACCTATTCCGATTACAACTCCATACATGTAAAATCCTTTCGACATCTAATTTCCCGATTAAGTCTTGGGTATGATTTTGTCGAAACCCAAATTGACTTAATAACTATGATTCTATTTCATGTTTATTAACCCGGTTATGAATCACTATTCATCTCTGCCTTGGCCAAGGACTTTGGATTAATAACTATGAAACACATAGGAAATTCACTTATCTTCATAAGTGTCGAATCCTTTATTGGCCACTAACAAACTTCCATACATATCAACATAATACCCAACTTATCCCTTTAAACGATAGTGCTAGCTACCAAAAGGATAAATCAAAGTAGAATGTAATATGCACAAAGTTACCATTGTGCCTCAAGTCTTAGGATTAGTCATGTACTATTGTAACATGAAAATTCTTATTCGACTGAATAAATTCTTCATTAAGAATTTTCATACGGTCATGTTCAGTGAACTTGTTCTCTAACAAGCACCCACATAAATGTACTTACGTCTTACGCTAATGTTGATGGAATGCAACATTCTTGTCCAACAAGCATACAAACTATGTGCAAGTCTTTTATGGATTATTCGATATCCCATCTCGAAACATCCATCGACTTGGAACTGTATTTAAGATCACGGCTTTCAAGGTATGTTCCATGATCACCATCTCTATGCGCAACCATACCTTATAACCATAAGTGATCTAGGGATTTTATCTTAAGTGCAATTATAAGATAAATGCTTTCTCTTAAGATAAAGAAATGCCTTATTAATAATATAATTCCAATAGATTTATATTTATAAGTAGAATACGTCCAACTAGATTGGAACGCCGGGTATCCTACTCTAACAATTTATAGTTTTATTTGATATAATTTAATTTAGTTTGATAAATAAATTTAAATTTTATATATAAGGATATATATTACTGTTTTGTATTATATATATATATATATAATAAAATACAAACGGACTTCATAATATCAATTCAAATGCAACACACTAATTAAGATTTTTTTTTCTTGATAATATTAACCCTATTTAATGAATGTTATATATTTTAGTATGACACATGTTAATTTTGCGACTTATATGAATTATATTGTAATAAATTTTCGATCTTATAACATATAACTACATTAAACATAAATATATTAATTGATAAATAATTTTATTTTCTAATTAATTTTAATAAATAATTTTATTATTATTATAAAGATAAATATAATTTATTATTTTATATATACAATATGGATGTCAAATCGAAGCTCATCAAAAGATGATTAATTTGATATATTATATATGTAAAACCGATAAGAAATACAAAAGCTATCAACTTTTAAAATATATTTGCAATTCAATGGTTATAATAAGAAATGATATTAAAATACAATTAATACAAATATTAATTTATATCCAAGCCCAACTCCAAAGCATGATTTTTTGCCAAATAGGATTCTGAAGCATTAGAGTTTGTCACGTAGGCTCAGCGCATTGTGAAATTATATATAGAGGGGATATTAATATTTTTCAATATTATATGAATACTAATATGATACCGTGTACTACAAGTACTTGTTAAGAAAATTATATTAAAAATTAAAATAATAATAACAACAAAAATTGTTTTAGTTTTTAAAGACTTTTTTGAAAAAAAAAATATTATTATTTATACTACCTCCTATTCTTTGTATCAATGTTCTGCAAACCGAACCGGTCATCGAACCGGTGAAGCTACCGGTTCAATGGTTCACTGGTCGGACCGGTGGTCGAACCGGTAGAATTAATATATAATTTTTATTTATTTTATATGTACAATATATAATTGTATATATTTTTATCATTGATTTTATATGGTATAATGACATTTTTTCTAAACAAATAAGAAATCGGGCATAGTCTAATTATTTTAGCTAACATGATATTATAATATTAATAAGTAATATTATTTTCATAAAGAATAATGTGATTATATCATTATAATGGAAGATAAATTTTGAAAGCAATTAGCACTCCAATAAGATAAATGACAAATTAGTAAATAGTAATGCCCAATAAGTAACTCACTTCCATAAGGCAGAGTGACAGAGGTGCCAACACCGATTCTTTAAACAATTATTAAATATGGCACAATAATGCAATAAAAGCCCAATAACCCTTTATTTGTGAAGATCCCACATCGAATACACAAACAAAAAATATCAATTATTTTAGTGGTGTTGTTGGTGTCTACATGCAAATGCAATACTCAACCGCTCAGCCGGTCTAGCAGCTTTTGGTTCTCCCGATTTGACCGGTTTTAACCGGTTGGAATAGTTGTTGGGCAGTTTTCAGACCTTGTAGTTCCATACAACTAACCGGACCGGTATAGTTGTCGGTTCCCGATTAAACCGGTCGAGCCGACCAGTCCGGTCCAATTTTGACAACCTTGCTTTTTATATGTCATATTGGCTTTATCAACCATTAACCAAATAAATGACGTTTTGGATATTTTTTTACATATTTTTTCATTATTACCCCCATTTAACTCATAAATACACTACGACTTTTCATATTCACTCTTCATCTTTTCTCAAAACATCTATCTCTATCTTCATTAATTAGTACGAATCCCGTGGGATGCACGGGTAAGAAATTTATTAATATTTATGAATTAAAATTTCTCATTAGATAATAGATAAATATATTTGATAATATTTTTTCATATTGGATAAATATATTTAACTTATGGTGAATATTGGAATGATATATTGCCACATAAAATAAAGATCAAAGTTTTTATATTCTTGGTTGTATTGATGCGATTCCATATAAAATTATTTTTGATATTATTGTACATATTCAGTTTAGACTGTATTGATGCGTTATTTGAATTGAAATTATACTTACTCAAAATTAAATTTTTGATTTTCCTAAATTGAATGTCATAAAATATATGTTATGGATGTTTCAAAATAAAATATTTGCTCCTAAATTGCAAATTTTGGTAAATATTTTTTGAACGAAACCATGAATAGGATGTTACCAAAAATACAGATTATCATGGTATATTCACGCGTTTTTACCAAAAAAATCTTATCGGAATTATTCACCAAAAATCTAATCTCATTTTGAAACTCGAGTTTTCTATGTAATAGATAAGTATATTATTTTGAAAGTATAGTGAGAATCAGATTTTGCCAAAATTGTGTGGGAAATGAGATCGTTCAACAAATCATTGGAAAAGATGCAGTGATAATTTTACCAAGAAAATTAATTGAAAATTTATTCACAAAATGATTGGAAAACTGGTTAAGANTTTTTTTTTCTAAAAACAGAATATGAAATTGATTTTCTTCTTTTTTTTCCTAATCGCATGTGTTTTTAAAAACATTTCTTATAATAGTAAGTCAAACATTTAACTAAAAAGTCGAAGTTACTATTTATGTATTTTTCCAACAACCTTTTTATATTAGTATAGATGAGAGTTATTATTGGCAAAACAAAGATTCTCAATTACTGTGCAACTTCTCAAAACGACACTTATTATGAATATGAGGGAGTATTTGAAATGACGCTCTCACTTACATGATTTACCATTTTATATTATAATTTTTTTTTATATTTATATTAGACAACTTCCTTGTAGTTAAGTTAGTTTAAATAATTTTATATTTTCGAAGTAATATTAAGAGATAATTTACTTTTAATTGTAATGATAAAATATATTATTATTTATTTTGGATGTATAATGTAGATGTCAAATCAAAGCTCGTCAAGACATGATTAATTTGATATATTAAGTATATATAATTGTTAATAAATAATAAAATTATTAAATTGTAAATATATTTATAATTTAAATAAGTAAATTTGTTATAATTTAAAAAAAATTATGGGGAAAAAAGAAAGATTGCGAAAAAAATTTACCTTATAATTCACGTCTACAATAGAAAATGATGTTAAAATATAATTAATGCTATTAAAAATGAGTTGATTAAACAAGTTGCAACTCTATGAGATTAATGTTTCTCATTAAAGAAAATGAGTTGTGAGGGATAATTCTTACATTTTGTAACCACACGACAATAAGTCCTATAAATACTTTTCTTATTCGCGAAATCATATGAATAAAAGTACCAGGCTTGATCAATCCAAAAATGCATTTTCAATTTGTATATTCGCTAAAGATTTCAAGATAGAGAGAAAATAGAATTTAACTTATTTGAGTCTTGTGTTCAATATTATTTTATGTGTTCTTGAGAGAAATATTGAATAATTATATTTGAGTGTTGTTGAGTGTCTCTTTCTCTATTGTTAGCTATCATTTCCAACATAATTTTTATAACGGACTTTCCGTCTAAACAATTACCTTCACATAAACCACGGAAATTATTGGAAGGGACACGGACATTACCTCAGATCCTCTTGTGTTATTTGGATGAAAGGATTTGAATTGTTCCAAATTTATACACTACCATATTCATAGGAACATTTATTTGATAAGATCTTCTTACAAGAATCTCAAATGCAAACACTTGAAACCCAAATATAAACATCATCCCCATTTAGCCCTCATTATCCCCTCAATAGACCCAATCAACCCCACAATTGAAAGAAGCAAACAGAACATACTGAACACCTGAAGAGCAACCCATTTTCTTGTCCAAGCTTGTGTTTTGGATTGCACAAAATACATTTCCACCGGAAAATATATAGCGACAGGCCAAAAGTTGAGAGCCCCCAAAACTCCCAACACTTGGTTGAAATAAGGAAATAGCATGGCCAGCCCTGTTGTCGACATTACATACACTGTTCGAAAACACAAACTCAGCATATTTAGCTTAAATGATGGCAGCATTGGAAGCCGACAAGCGTAGAATTTGTTGATAAACTTATTTTGGGGGTACTTCCCAGATATCCATCTTTCGGCATATCCGAATACTGGCTGAGAATAAACCTGAAAATGTAGAAACAGTTAACTGTAAAATGTTACATAACTAAAGGTGTGATTGGATATAAACTAGACTAGTAAAAAACCGATTAAAACTCAAATTTAACCCAACTCCACTATTCTCAATATTATTAATATAATTTACTTTAATTCACTATTCATCTACTCATATAATTATAACTAGCCATCAATTCCAATCATTTTTCTCCTATTTTACATCAAATCAATATTAATTATTTTATTTTAAATATTATTTTAATTTAAACTTAAATTCTCATTAACAACTAAACCATACCATATTCTTTAAAATTAACTATGATTAACAAAAAAAAATCAATCAGCAAGGACCTGATATCCTCCAACAAGATGAAGAATAATGCAAGCATTGGCAAAATCCACTAGCCAATAAGGCTCGTAAAATCCGAATCCCGTGAGGAGATTCCCAGGCGTGTGGTCGCCAAAAGCCGCATAACCAAAGCACGCGCAGCAGAGGTAGAAGAAAGTGGTGATGAGTATTGAAGCAATTGTTGCCTTCTTCATGGTCCGGTTTTGCGGTGGGGGTGACCGCAGAGTATCCTGCACTCCATGAAATTAAAGCTAAATTTTCGTAATTTAATTTTATTTTTGAATTTAGTTTTAGTTGTGTCGTGGAGAGTGCGGAGTTGTAACTTGTGAGGACCTGAATTTCCAAGACAATTTGTGTGTATGGGTATGAAAAAGCAATGTCTGCAAGTGCTTGAAAAACGAGCCACATTTTCTGAGAAGATGTGGGAGCAGAGACTCCTCTAATGCTTCCCTTGATCTGCCGATTTTCTGAAACATTTTCCGAGAGGGTGATTTTGGAATTTTGAGTACGAAAGCTAGTAAAATGTTACGAATATGAACAAGAGTTTGTACCAATGACTGTAGCAAAGCCCAGCCCGAATCCAATGAAAGCATAGGAAAATGACATAATTGCAGCAATAATAGAAAGCCATGCCATGTTGTGGAAGTTTGGTATTTGGGACACAACAATCTGAGTCAATCCGAATATTAGCATAAATATGTTGTTCCCATAATCACATTTGGCGTCCTTCCCTTCATCGTGGTAACAATTTGATCTTAGAATAGCCCTACACAAGTTTCATCGTGGTGTATGTTGATGGATTTTTTCTTTTTTTTTGGTAATTATGAGAATTGTATTTATTGTTTATATAATTGGCATGAAGGATATATATATGTAGAGCCTACTTTACACTGGAAGCCGTGACAATGGTATATGCAATCCCACATCCATAGAAGCTCTGCAATACAAATATTGCACAGATCCTTTGCTTCGTTTTACCTGAAACGTTCAACCAATTCTTATTTAGCTTTCTTGTTCATCAAAATTATGAGCTAACTAATAGCAATCATTTTGAACTTTGTCAATTGAGGATTTCAGTTTGAAGGATCAGTTTACATTTTAAATGTCAATTTAAAACATCAACTAACTTTATATATTGACATAATTATGTTGATTAATATATCATATTTTGTAAATTTATATTTTATGTTCTCATAATAAAAAATATTAAATAATTTTAGTAAAATTATGTCAATAAGTAAATTAATCCATGTAAGTTACATTTATACAAAAGTTTAACTAAATATATATTTAAAGTTTGAAAAATTTAAAAATTGACTTTTAAAATATAAATATTTTTTTGGTGGATAATCTAAATATTTAATAAATTTAGGAAATAAACAATTTCAAATGATTATTTTAATTTCTTTATAAGCTTGTATATTGAAAAATAAAATATAACGTGAGCCTTCAAGTGAGAATAAATCAATATTGAGATCTACAATTGACAAAGTTCAAAATTATAGTCTGAATATGACGCAATACCAAAAAATATGTCTGTAATGAACTGTCCTCATAAACATTGTCCATCATGTTGCCATTTTAGTCACAATTTTGTAAAAAATGATAACATGACGCTAATGCAAAAGTAATTAATGAATTAGGTATGTATGAAAAATATTTCATGGCAAAGTTTGACAAATATCATTTTCTCTGTACAGTAATTTCTTTTATAAACTGATTTTTGGGTGAATTAATTGGAAAACAATTATGCCCCAAACTTTCAAAACATAAAAAAAGACCAATATTAAACTAACAAAAAAAAAAGAGAGAAAAAGAAGAGTAAATAAAACCATGGAGAGAGCTAGCAATAAAAAATATAATCGGAAAATTTGGGGAAAAATAAACGACAAACTAACCCAGGTAGAATTTGACAGCCTGCATAAAGGACCGGTTCCGGGTCGGGCCATTTTCTGGGTCCGGAGACCTATAGCAGTCGCAGACAAGCAGAGTAGAAACTTGCGTGATAGCCGCAAATATTACTATTACTATTGGGCCTGCAACCCACCCCAATTGGGCTACGCTCCATGCTAGTGACAATACGCCTGCCCCAATCACACCTGTTATCACATGCGCAATTGCAGTCCATATTGTCCCTGCCATAACCATAAAAAGCCCATTTAACCCATTAACCAACCAAAATCCTCGCACCACAAAATCTTAGATGGATACTTCGGTGACATTGGATTAAAAAAATGAATCAAAGAAAAAAATGTTTTGGATGATAATGAGATAAAAAAAATTAAAAAGGTTGTTTGTGAATATATATATGAAAATTTTAGAAGTGTAAATAGTTATATGAGATAAAAGTATAATAATTATAAATTTAATGTGATATAAAATATTAATTATATCCGATTGAATTCTAATAATTTGGGATAGGTGTCGGAAGAACTGAGTTGTCAGCCCACACCAGCCGGTTTAACCGGTTAAACCGGGAATCGGTCACCCAACCGGATTGATCCCTACTCCAGAGTCAAGACCGCTTGTCAAAGAATAAGATTATGACCGGTCAAAACTGTTTAAAAACCAATTAGTTGGACAGATTAGAATTTTTATTTTTTTATTGATTTGGTTTTCTATGAAAAAGAGTTTTCATATTATTAAATATAATTTTACTTGTAAAATAAATATTTGAATATTTAGATATTTAGATGTTATTATAACAATTTATTTAGGTAATTATATATTTTATCTATCTACATATTTAATAAAGATGTTTTTTTATATAAAACTTAAAATTTATATTTCTATGAAAATATTTAAAAATAATAACAAATAAACAAATATAGCTTTTAATCGATCCAATCACTTATCCGACCAGTGAATCATTGAACTAGTAACTTTATCTGATCGGTTTTTTAAAAAAGAATGGTAAAAAATATGTGAGTAGAATATTTTTTGTTAGAAAATACAAATCATTAATGACTACATTTTTTTTAATTGTATAATTGAAATTATAGAGAAAAAGTGAGACGAAATAAATAATATTTTGTAAGAAATGTTTTGTCTTCACTTTCAGTTTACAATGAGATAAATCATGCTCACAAACAAATTAAACCCTGAAATTTTCAAATTCTCTTTTCAATTTTCGAGCTTTAGCTGCAAAAACACTCTGAAGACAAAATTTTCCTTTCTGCTCGAGTGGGAAGAAAATGTACATCATTCTTAATAAGATACAATTTACCTGTTCTTTCAATAAGCTCCTCGGGATTGTTGGATATCTCAAAACCGGCACTCACTGGTGGGTTTTCAACACTTTTCTTCACTTCCCAACCTTGATTGCTCTCCATTTATATTAAATAAATATTATTCGCATATAAATTAAACTAAGCAAGACAGTAGCTATTTTTTATTTTATTTATTTATTTTTTTCCCATTCAAAATAATTAGATGGCGCACAGCAATTTGTATAAATAAATAGATAATAATATCACGTAAGGGCCCCAGTGAAAAATACCCACTTGCTCCAATCAGTATTGGTAATTTTTTAATATTTGTATATAAATTTAAGGGCATCCCCAGGCCACAAATGCACGGAAAATCTTTTCGGTATTGTAAAAGCGTGATCAATTTGTATCTATGTGTGGAATTTAGAAAAGCGTGCCAATATGTGATATTGATTGGTTTGACGGATAGACAAAAGTGCCAAAAATCGGTGGGCATTTTAGGCTGCGTGTGTTAACACTTTACACAAGAACATGGCCATGTCCTAATTTTATGCCTATACATAGATATTTCTAAAGTGACGGGTTTAACTTTTAACCTATTGTTTGCAACCGAACGGATCGAATCTTCTTATGGTCATCTGTACACTTTTTTATGCTTTTTTTACACAACTTTTAAATTAATAGTAGTACGTAACCCGTGCGATGCACGGGATGTAAAATTTGGAAGAATAATATAACATTAGGATCGAAATTGAAATCATTAAAATACATAGAAATATTGTTGAATCATAAAAAGTTCGGTAACAATCATATATTATTAAAAATCTCATTGTACACAACATTATGAGTTTGATTATTTGGTAACTCCTCATTATCACAAACTAATATTTTCAAAAGAGACAAATCCTAAAAATCAAACTAATATGAACAAACTAATATTTTAGGATTGGTGAACAAACTAATATTTTAGGATTTTTAGGATTTGTCTCTTTTTGGTAAACAAACTAATATTTTAGGATTGGTTATATGAATAAGGCTACCTGTTTTTGGTGTTCTTTTATTTCATTTTCATTCAAACAATCTGATGACTTGTATAATGAAATCCGAATCTTAGGCCGAAATATTTAAAAAAAGAGTTTTTAAAAATTGAAAAGTCAAGGCAATCAGTTCATATTAATTAAAGGTCAAAGAATATCCGCTCTTTGAAATAAAAACGTGTGCTATCATTAACCAAATATCCGGTTATTGATATAGAGTGGTTACCAAAAAATAGAACGCGATAAGGACGCTTCATGGAAATATCAATGGGATAAGGTCATAACAGATCGCTATACATTTTAACGATAAAAGCTCAAATGGAATGATTTGTGATAATTATGTCGTAATTAATGAATTAATTGAATGTGTGAAAAGGACATAATTAATGAGAAGTGTGAAAAAGACAAAAACTTACAAGTTTTGGAAAATATTTAATGCAAATCTGACATTGACCATAATTTGACCTACTATTTTGGATAAATGTTAATTCTTATTATATAAGTATAGATATGAGATTCAATGTGAATGCTAACATTATGTGTGGTTATATATATACATGAGCTTGGATAGGTGTCTTTATGCATGAGGCCGGTTTGAGACATTGAATGTGAATGCTAACATTATGGTATGGACATCTATATACATGAGCTTGGTAGGTTTCTTTATGTATGAGGTAGGTTTGATTCAATAATCTCATTCAATAATCATACCAACTAAATAAATGTTTCCAAAATTTTTTATATATTTTTTCTGGTTGAATATTGGACACTATTTTGAAGAAGAATTATTATTTTTTATTAGAGAAACATAAAATTAAGGTCTACTTGCATATAAAATTACGATCTTTAATTTTTTGGTAATTTAAACTATACCTTAGGATAATTTTAAATTATCACGATTTTTTTTTAAGACAATTGCACCACGATCCAATTCTGTTCGACGACGAGTTTGTTGTCTATGTGTCCGGGATAAGCAGGGGCGGAGCCACACGTATTTTGAGGTGGGCTATAAGATTTTTATTTGTTTTACTTATATAGGTATACATAAGTTCGAGTCTAGTGTAAATCTAACAAAACCAATTAGATATGAACATATATATGAGCTCTAGTTGATATTTCATTAATTGTGCTTCTCTCTTAATTATATTTTGGTTTGAATAAATATATTTAATATTTCTTTAAGCCTATTTTACTTTGTCACAACTATATGAATATTTTATTATCCACACATTGATAAAAGCATAACTAAAAGTGTATTAAATAAAAAGTAAAATCGTAAAAAATATGAAAAAGAAGAATATAAGGAAAACTATTAGAAAAAAAAAACGTGAATTAAAAATTTGAAAAATTTGGAGCTAAATCCATGAGGTAATTTGATAGAAGATTTTGATTAAATAGTTTATTTCTTAACTATTTCACCAAGTAATAATTATAATGAATATTATTCCATTTAAATTCTTTTATTAATATTTTTATTTTTTTCACAATGTTTTATTATTAAAACAAACTTTACTTATTTTTTTTATTCTACAATCAAATTTATATTTCTAAAATTCATAAGTATTTTTAAAAGAACATGTAATCAATGAAGATCATTAAAAAAATATTCAATTATATTGTCCCGGACAAATTGAAATATAGAACAAAACAACAAAACAAAACAAACATTTTAAGCGTTAGTTAGACTTTTTCTACTTTTTTTTTCATCAAGTTGATCAGCCCAGGGTGATTAATTTTCCTGGCTACGCCCTTGGGGATAAGGATCACATACGTCATTTCGCTTTGCTGATTAGGATCCAGGTTGTTACGTTGAATACACAAGTCAAAATTTTAATATCAAAATGAATTTGAAACTCCTCACATGTATTCTTTTTGTAAAATTACGGCAAGAAAATTCAGGCATTTACTCAAAAGGATTGATAGCAAAAAAAAATGATGATGGGGGAAGCCGGCGAAACGTCGCTGCAGGCCACCGGCACTGCGTCGGAGAGGAGAACACGGTCTTTGTCGAAGAGAGAGCAATCAGAGGAGAGAAGCGAAAGAGCGCAACTTTGGCGAAGATTTATGTTGGGCTTAGGGCGCAGGGAATTACAAGCTGCCCAAATACTACGACAATAACGAGGTCTCAAAGCCCTCTGTGCAGAGGCCGGGTGGATGGTCGCGCTTGACGACACGACTAATCGGAAATGAATTCTTCAAATTTGGGGACTGTTTTGTTCACGCAATTTTTAATTATTTTTTGGTAAAATTACACTTTGCCTATTGAACTATCCTCGTTTTTACACTTTGCCCACTCAACTTTTTCCGGTGACACTTTACCCCTTGAACTTCAAATATTCTTGCACTTAACGACTTCCGACCACCGGAGATGCAAAATTAAGGGCAAAATCGCCATTTACACCTTAGGGACACCTCAAATTAGTCTTTTACGAGTACACTTTGCCTACCGAACTATTCGTGTTTTTACACTTTGCCCTTGATTTTACATTTCCATTGGCCGGAAGTCGTTAAGTGTAAGAATATTTGAAGTTCAAGGGGTAAAGTGTCACCAGAAAAAGTTGAGTGGGCAAAGTGTAAAAACGCGGATAGTTCGGTAGGCAAAGTGTAAGTTTTCCTTATTTTTTTATTTGGGATTGTTTGTTGTTAGCAACGGGGATCTTTGAAGCACAATTGGGCTTCTTTATTTGATTTTTATTTTTCTTTTTCTTTTTTTGTCTGAATCTGTGTGTTTAGTGGAGGATTTTTTCTAATTTCAAATTTGTGATTCTGTTTTCAAATTTTTCTTTTTTCTTTTTCTTCTTTTGACTTTTTTCCACATAACAACCTGACGTCCTAGTTAGCAAAGCGTGGCGTGTATGATCTTTTGCTCGGACATGTAGGCATCAAACTCGCCAGCGAACAGAATTTGGTTTGGGTTGTAATTTTTTTTAAAAGTCATGATATGCTTGCAATTTCTCTAAAGTTTGGTTTAAATCGTAAAAAAGTTAAATGTCGTGATTTTATATGCAATTAGGCCTAAAATGTCAGAGTTACTTGTATTTACAATGCTAAATAATGTGATACAAAGAGTAATAATTAATTGCTAAGAAATTCATATATGTAAAATAATAACTAATAATATAAATATGTGAGTCGGTGAATAATAAATATTGTAGAGAATTTGTATTAATAATATTTTAGTTTTTTTTCTTGAAAGTTTTATTAAGAAAATAACAAAAAATAAAGTTATAAGATTGATTTTTTTTTTTCTCGAAACAGATAAATTTTCAATAACAAAACTCAGAAACTTACAATCGGCCATCAACTGATAGCAATCACTCCCTACTTAAAACAAGCAGGTACCATGATTCTACGGGGTAGGAAAAGAAGACATCCTTCCCCTCCAAACAACACAGCAAACCTAATCCCCAACCCACAAAACCAAGAAACAACCTGCAATACTCTAAACAAAACCAGAAACCACATATACAAGAGAAAGAAACCACAGTCCACTGAACAAAAAAATCAAAACAAAAGAAAGATGAAAGCTGCAACCCCACCATAACCTCTCACCAAAACTAAAAAGATCAAGCACTGATAGCTTTAAGGCTACCCTACTCGATTTAACTTACTACAAACTTCCACCCATTAATCTTCTACCATAGTATCCATTTGACTTAAAAGGAATTCCTGCCACTATGCCTTTGCACTTTCTGCTATCTTTCTTTCATATATCCAAACTTTTATGAAAATCCAGTTATTACGGGTTCTCCACAACCACCATAAAATATATGTGGTTAATTTAATTTTGTCCTTCACTTTCTCCCCTCCCTTTGATGCAGCATAAAGTTGTCCACCACTCCTGAAATGACTCCTCATACCTTGGCAGCACATCCCACTTCAGCCTAGTCATCTTCCACACCAACTTGCTTCTGTTGCATTCGAAAAAAAATATGTTCTTGACTCTCCTCCTCTTCTCCACAAAGGTTGCATATTAAATCCACCTTGACACCCTTCTTTTTAAGTTATCTTGAGTACTCAGAAATTTATGTCAGCTTCTCCAAATAAACATATTGATCTTGTTCTTCACAAATCCACCTTAACATCCTTCTTTTTAAGTTGATAGGTCAAAAAATGTGCACGTTTTATATATTTAATAGTGTATTTTTATGCGCTTAATTTATTCGCA